CCAAAAACCACAGTGGCAAATGTTGGTTCAGATGAATCCTGCACATCCATGTCAGCAATCATGAGGCTTTGTTTGCTTTCTTTTCCGTAGGCATTCACACATGCAGTTTCTGTGTAGTACCACAGGTGTAAATCCAGAATGACACTGTAGTTTTTGGTTGGGCATTGTGGTAGATACAAAGTCACCCTCTATCCTCCTGTCTCTGCTGATGTGCTTCTGACTACATGTATAAGATCATCCCCCTTCCTGCCTGCCCAGACAATTAAAAAAAAAATAAAAATCTTCAGGCTTCCCCAGGAAGAGTTTTATGGTCAAGGCAATGACCAGATTTTGAGGTGAATCTCTGGCAATGTTTTCTCACAAAACACTCACTGTGCACATCCGCACACTTCCAATAGGAAGATTTTTTGCTTTATAGGACATGAATATGCAAGTCTGTGTGTCAGGCGTGAATGAAGACCATACACTAGGTATTGGTGGCATTGCTCTTTTGGGAAAAAGTCTGTTTAGATTATGGTTTGTGGATATGTGTTTTATGTTGGAAAGGTTCAGATTTAAATCAAAGTGTTTCCTTAATATGCTATTTCAGACAATGCTCCAGGAGAAACTGAAGCACAACCATCATGAGATCTAAGGGGAAAATAAGAAAATATATATTCCTTGTCTTTTAGTAATAACTATCTAAAAGATCTAGCATTACAAAATTAATTAGTCAAGAAGTGTAGCGACCCCAGATATTTTTGCAAAACTTGCTTTGAAAACAGCCAGCTCTGAACTCTGAGCTACATGACAGCAAAATTTCACATAGCGGATACAAATGATATTTTGCATTGAATCTTAGTACTCACTGGAAAATTAGGTCTGGAAACTATTTTGACTGTTTTTGGGCAAACAGGATTTTTACTGGTGAAAGCTATCTACTTATGAAGAATACAAAGACCTCTATGGAAAACATGTTACCAAGGCCCATAATGTTGGTGAAGCATTCAACCGACTATCACTTAGAGATAAAATGGTACATGGATGGATTAAATGGTGGTGGAGCATGCATAAACACATAGGACTTGTCCTGGCTTTGGCTGGAATAAAGTTAACTTTCTTCCTGGTATCTGGTACAGTGCTGTGTTTTGGATTTGGAATGAGAATAATGTTGATAACACACTGATGTTGCTAAGCAGTGTTTATACTAAGCCAAGGACTTTTCAGCTTTGCATACTGCCCTCCCAGGGGAGGCTGGGAGTGGACACAGCCAGGACAGCTGACCCAAATGAGTCAAAGGGGTATTCCATGCCGTATGACATCATGCCAAGTATATAAACTGGTAAGAGGTGGCTGGGGGCACAGCGTCTTGGGGATTGACTGGGCATTGATCAGTGGGTGGCGAGCGACTGTATCATGCATCACTTGTTTTGTATATTCTATTATTATTATCTTCCCCTTCTTTTGAGTCTTATTAAGCTGTTTTATCTCAACCCATGAATTTTACTTTTTTTTCCTGATTCTCTCCCCCACCCCACTGCTGGGGGGGAGAGTGAGCAAGTGGCTGTGTGGTGCTTAATTGCCATTAAACCATGACAGGACTCAAATTTGCAAATATTAAATTAAACCCCATCACCTAAGTGTCTGAATCCTTGGCTTTACAGCACTTTGATTTTTGCCTGAAAGTATTGGAAATTGAACTCAATGAAATATATTTAGTTTTATTTTGATTCATGAATATTATTGTAAATTTTTAAAATAAAATTTGGAAGTGCCAGAAAATGTCTTATTTCTTGGCCCTGTAACTTTATTTTTCTTTCTTATCTTTTTATGTTACACGACATTGTCTAGGAAAAAATTACATGTGATCTTAATCTCCAGGCATGCTTTTTCCAGAGAGAAACCAGTAGAAGAACATTTACAGTAATTAACATACTTTCCATCTTCTCATTTTGTTAATGATATCTTTTTGAAGGCTGTGCAGTAATTACTGCCCACAGAGGTATGTACTCTGAAATAAATTAATGACCAATGACCAATAATGATTATAGATGTAATCATCCATTGTGAAATATAGGCTAAAATAGATATTAGGAACAGTGTTTGAAGCTAAAATAAACTCTACTAAAACTGTACTGTTAAAATGCTAAAATTATTTTAGTAGTTGATCAGAAAAACATAGTTATTTTCTAATCATATGCTAATGTTAGTAATTTTTCATTTTTTATTTCCAAAACATTTCTTCAACAGGCTGACTCACTAACAAGTAAAAAACCTCACCTACAGAAGCTATGTTTATTTCTGATGAGACCTACTTTAGAAATATTAGTTTTATTGTTAAACGTTCTAATTTTACAGATTAATTTTCAGACCAGGATTCAAACCATGTAAGCATGAGTTTTTGAGAATCTCAACCCCAAATTTCTTTTTGGGCAATGTCACTTTGTTTTACAAAATACTGTAGATGAAAAAAACCTGCCTATGTCTGCACAATTTTGTACTGATATTTGCATACAGAACCAAAAAGTATGATGGTGATGAGTCTCCAATAGACTAACATGCTCTTGCCCTTGAAACTAAGCATAAAACACACATGGGAAATTTTTACAAAAATTCATCTTTAATAAAGCAATATGTTATCTTTTGTGTAAGGGAGAAATCTGTTTTTAAAAACAGTGGATAAAAAAGTCCCGTAGTAATTTTTAAAAATCTAAACTGAGAGGGTGATTTTTTCAAATAATGTAGGAAAAGTCTTGTTGAAACCAAATGATTTGGTTGTTCCTCAATAAGAGATAGATATCTTAAACATCTTAAATATTTGTCCCTTCAGCCTTACAAAGCACACTTTCATTTTGACAAACCTTCATATGAGCAGGGTAGTTTGGGTTAACTTCTATACCGTCCTTACCTGTCTCTACACATCTCGGTGTAAGGAAATATTAAGTGTTTGAAAACAAGCTCAGTGCTGTACTTTGCACTGTGCAGAATCGACAGTGTAAAAGTAGCCCCTTTCTTAAATCTTCAGTGTTCTTGTCTTTGAAACTATGAATTTTGGAGGTATGTGTAAAAAGATAACTACCAACTGAATTTTGACCTGAGACCTTCATGTTGCTTAAATTTACCTGAATTGATGGATTTAGCTCTGCTTGGGCTCTTGTTAAGATACGCTATCTCACAGCGGGTTTGATTCTGATTTTATTTTCCAAGTTAACACCAATGTAAATAGAAAACATGCACTGCAAGTGAACAATATGGGGGGGAATCTATAAAATCCAAATGTGGGTATAAGCAGCCGCAAGTCCATTATCTGAACTGGTTATGTCATCTTACACCAGCAGAAAACTCAGCCCTCTATATTTGATTCCTAAATCTCACCTTACATCAGATGTTCAAAGGTTCAGATGAATAAGATACGTCTCTGTAAAGTGTGTTTTAAATTAAAAGTTAGTGAAAAACATGTCTCTCGATTTCTGGATGACAGTCTTGGAAAATGTGTTTCAACTGGCAGCTGCCCTCTTCCTATTTTACTCCACCCTCATCAAGAAACCAGTATCCAGTGATGTCGGAGCTGATATTCTCGACAAAAACAATAACCTCTCTTTGGTTCATCTTCCCTGTTTTGTTCTGGGTGCTGAGAGGTGGCTTTGAAAGGGCAGCATGTATAAGGCAGGAATATTTCTTGAGGGTATGGGGAAGATGTTCACTAGTTTGAAGGCAACCAAGACTTCCAACTGATTTTAATTTTATTTTTAATGTTCATGGGAACCAGTCTTACATGCCTGGCTGAATTCAGAGTTTGGATTTTTGGCAGGTTTTTATTTGAGCCCAGCTTGGCTGTTTTTCAAAATGTCCAGATTGCTCACATTAAATCTGAATAAGCACTACCCACTAGTTTAATCAGAGTCATCTGGTACACCTCTAATTAGTGTTAGTTAAAGTTGAAATTCATAATAACACAAAATGCTGCATTTTTGGGATGTATTTAGTAAACTCCTGAATGCAATATTGTAGGAAGGAAAATATCTTTTGCAATATTATTCAAAAATTGGAATACATGAGTTATGATGACAGTAACACAATGGTAACAAAATAAGCCTAAATTCCTGAAAAATGCCTTGAAAATGAGTCTTTGGCCATTCAGGCATGCATACACATATAGAATATGTGTAGAGACAAATGTGTTTATGAACCTTAATTGTGGGTCCTGCTAATCTAATAATTAACTCTAACTGTACTTTGTGCACAAATCAGTAAAACATACACATCTGGGAGTATTTCAGCAATTATCAAATAAACATGTGATACTTTTGCTTCAGTTGTTTTGGTTGAATTGTTTTCTAGTCTTAACCTATTGCAATAGATGATATATAATCAAAGTGTTATAAAATAGTTTTCTGTTTGAAATCAGTGAAGGTTTTGCCTGAGTCCAAACCAGACCATTAATACGTTACTGCAGATTATCAAAACATGAAGCTTGAAAATTACTATATTTGTGCAATTATTGACTCTAAAGGATCAAAACCCCCCCAAACCTAAATTTTTTGTATTACAATCCATACTGATATGATGCTTGCTTATCTTCAATTCTTCCGATTCCTTGCTTTTGAAGATGTTTTAACTTTTATTATGTTAAGACATAGACCCATTAAAACAGCAAGGTCTGCAGTTTGATCTTTTTGTTAAAATCTTCCCCAAATTAAGAATTCTAGATTTTATTTTGATTTTTTTCAGGTGTCACTTCTAAATCCTAGAGAACTGGTGAATCCATATTCTTATATTTTGTAGATGAGCTATTAGTTTTACGTGTATAATGTAACAATAGTGCACAAAAGTACCTAAGTGTTTACTCAGATTTAAGTCTTACCTCAGATGTTCTTCTCAGTCATGCTTTAACTGATACTCTGGACATAAAAATATAATTTATGTTTTTTTTTTTCCTGGACACTTTTCAGCTCCATGATTCAAGAATTGAATGGATTGTGATTACAGAGTTTTTTTTTTCAAGGGCATCTGTTCTTAGCCACAGCTGAGGATGGGGCCCACTGAGCCGACTGGAAGGATCCACCTAGAATTTGTTGAATTAAGTCCTTGCACCTGGATATAATTGTCATGCTGCTGTGCTGGGGTTTTCTTAAGCTACTGGTAAAACAAATTAGCTCAATTTAAACTGGCATCCAGTAGGGAAGCAACAACTCACCTCATATAATGTTTTTCAAATAATTATTTTTCTATTGCCAGCTTTGCTTCATGAATATTTTCCTAAAGGCAGGATGAATTTTTTTAAGTTAAACACAAGAAGCAACAAAGAGCATTCTTTTCTGCATAACTGCTGAGTTACAACTAGTTTTAGAGCAGTATGTGATTATTGATTTTATATGACTGTATCTTGGAGATATATATATCTAAATGTATATTAAAAAGAAGATAACAGCAGATAAAACAGATTAAAAATGCAGTATAACTTCAAGGCCCCCCACCCTCTCCAAACTGGTCTCAATACATATACTTCATGTACCTTTTGCCAGATTTAGCACTGTAATGTTATAACCACTTTTACATTTGGGAAAGATTCATGCAAGTTTGGGGTTTTTTTGTTGAACAGTAGACAAAGGTAGTCATTTATGTCTGACATGGGAATTTGTATAAATACCATGGGATCTCATTTCCTTATGTATTTTAGAGCTGTTCGAACTTGGCAACAAAATTCATAAGCTTCCTGGAAAGTCCACAAAGGTTCATTGCCTCAGTTGGACTTGCAGTGGCAGGACTTTGCATGAATCCCTGGAATGTGTGCATCTGTGTTAGCTTCAGCTTTTCGTAATATTCTCCAAATGTAGACTCTGGGGGAAAACAATGAAAAATCATCTCTTCAGCTGAATATTTCAGGATGACTTTTGAAATGGAAGAAATAGTACTTTCTACCAGTGCTCTAAATATTACTGTAATATTTTTTTAGTAGGTGGCATACTAATTTGGAGAAGAGAGGGTTATGTTCGTGGATGATAGTTTTTGATGTGTTTCTAGAATCACCCCAGCGTAGTTGCTTCAGCTGCTGACCAAAGATGCGGTTCTTGTGACCTGGTCATGTCACTGTGGATACCAACTTAAATCGCTTTCCAAGACACTGCTCAGCTGGCTAAAAAATAACAACATGGACTGAAGCTACTTCTTGTTTATTACATTTTAAAGAAAATTCAAGAATATAAAATATGTTGTGAGATCAAGAATGTGTTTTGTTTTAATAAATGGACTCCTGATCATCCTCTTAGAGACTGTTACAGAAAGATAGATGTACATATTATCATAAACCATCCTCTAAGCCACAATCTTTTTAAATATTGGGTAGACTCAAATGCAACAGGAATGTGAATTAGGAAAGCAGTGCTTTTTTGAAGGATGGCAAAATATCTAGAGATCAAAAGTTAACTGTAGAAGCTGCTGTCAGTCGTTCAGCTGTGCAGTGAATTTCCAATTTTGGAGATTGTGTGTGTGTAGCGGCAGGGGCAAGCACGGACATTTCTGTGGCTCTCAATAACAGTTTATCTTGTGCAAGTGTTAGCTCAAGGTGAACCTCTGTGTGTAACAAATTCTGTTACTTGAAGGGCTGCATATGTGGCACTGAGACTAGTGGGAAAGTGCTAAATGCATATAGTCCTGCACGAAGGCAGCTTTCATACAACAGCTGGTTCCTAAGTGGAGACAGTTGAAAGGTGTAGGGCAGTTACCTCTGTTATAAGGCAAATTCTGGTTTTAACTGCGGGGCCTGATTCTTGCTTACACTCCAGCAGTGTAACAGGCACTCCCCTGTGGCGTAGATTTGCCATCAGTGCTCCAGCCAGAGGCTCAGCATGGACCCAGGGTGAAGAAAATTCACAGAGCAAAAGAGTCTGACACATAAAATAACATGGACTGAATTATCATTATCTGTCTTGTGAGGAAGAGGAGGCCACGGGAGAGAGTTACTATACCTTAAGTTGTTGTACCAATGCACACCTAGAGTGAAGTTTTTCTTTCAGCTGTGATAGTGCATATGAGAATGGGCAAGCGAGTTGCTTTCACACAATATTCCTTTTTATAAACTCTTTTTTTTTTGAGCTTCAGGGGAAAGAAAAAACCTCCAGTTTTCCCTCAAAGTTGTGTAACAACTGTGACTGATGTAAAGGTTACCTTGCCTCCTCTCTGTGTTCCTTCTCCTGTCTGGGCTTCCAGGGAGGAGAAAGTAAGAAAAAACAGTAGCAAACCGAGCTTAAGGGTTTTTTTTTTTTCTTCCTTTTTTTTTTTTTTTTTTCCTTATGTGATGATAATCCTAGGCCTGCATTTAGAGAGAAGCTTCCAGTGGGAAATTAAGCTAAACTGAAAAGCATAACAAAACCCAAATCATCTCGACTGCAAGAATTCCTCCAGTGTTTTATTCTTTAATGCTTATTAATAGAGACAATACTAAACCCGAAAGGAAGCTAGCAATATCCTGTTCTTTTTCTTTTTTGTTATAGCGTGGATTTTTGTTTAGTAAACTCCATGTCAGATCTTCTAATTTAATTATTGAACTCACAATGTGAATAAACGTACAGACATGACTAATAGCATTCTCTTATAATTTCATTACAGGGTAATAGACATGTGGTTTTTAAAACTGATTTTTTTTTTTTTTTTTCTGTTGCAGAGTGTTTATGATATAAATGAACTCTCACATCCTGCCTTCTTTTTCTCCTTACCCTCTTTTCATTTCTTTTTAGATTTGATTCATAGAAAAATGTGAGTGATGCGTGCCACTGATTTGGGTCATCTGCACGCAATTCAAAAGGAAAAGGTGATTTTTTTTCATTGCCTGCCAAGTAAATGGGAGAGGTGTAGGAAAAAGTGGATTTATGCATAAAACTCAAAACTCCAGATGAAAGAACGGACCTCTTTTATCATCGTAGAAAGAATCCATCTGCAATAATTACCAGTCAGACTATCTGCACACTATGTTACTTCGTGACATCTGAGAACTGCTGCACTTCTTGAACCAATAGCTGCTATATAGCAACCAGCATCAATCCTAAATGAAAAAATTGGCCCAAGTGCTGGTGAATGGCACTCAGTAGGTTTCCCATTGAACTGTGCTGCGAAACAATGATGCACATTGGTAAATCACCGTGTGTGCCTTTCAGTTCTTATGCATATCCCATACTGGACAGCTTCCATTCACTCTGGCACCCACTGCAAACAAATGTAACTATGCATCAGAGATGAAAGTGAAAATGCATATGTTAAATCCCAAATGGAAGCAGAAGAGTATAATATATACATAGTTGCTTAGCAACAAACATGTTTTGGCCACAGGAACGGTGACATCAGTCAGAGAAGAGCGAAAGGCAAGCTGCTCTGCCCTCCTTGTCTCTATCCCTAGAAGCTTCATAAAGGTCTTTCCTTATTTCTTTCAAATGAGGAGAGGGTTATTGTAGACATTTGTTTATGCTATTAAAGCAACAGACTGTAGGACAATTGGACTTCCCTTTAAGCAGGGAAACCTGTTTTCATTTGGGGTGTCTGTTGTAATGGTGCATGCCCTCCCATACAGTCAGGTGTTTTGATCCTTGCTTTATGGCTCACTGTGGAGTTCCTCTTAGCTGAAATGCTCAGACAGGAGAAAGGAAGTGCTAAGTCTGAAAATACAAGCTGTTAGGATTAAAAAATTTGGTGTCACTCACTGTTTTTGACCCTATCATGCCTTTCAGCTGCTAGAAACTTTAATTCTACTGGCTTTTGACATTCATCTGGCTCTGTATTTTTTCAGGAAAGCAAGCAATGTTTATTTCAGTAAATCACGCAGTATCTATGTCTAGTAGATAGATATTTATTAAGTCCTCCCATTTTAGATGGTCTGAATATCTCCTCTCCTTTTCCCCTTCTCTCCCTTTCCTGCGTGCTCTGGCGTACGTGCAATGGGAGGTGAAGGAGAGAGCTGGCAAGTCCTGGTTCAAGTGACGTGCATCCTTCCATGCAAGTAGCTCCTATTGACACAAATGTGAGCTCTGTGCATAGCTGACACAAAAGTGTTTCATGCTTTCAGCAGTCTGCTTGCTCCACTGGACCATGGCATCTTTCACGTGTAGAAATATTGTACATTTGGGTTCAAATCGATCTGCCATCCTGGACTGCTGCAGACACATCCCTGAATACATTATTTTTGAGTGTTTCCTTTTAATTTAAGGTAATGAATGTACTTTGGTGGATCCCCAGTGGGGGAAAAGAACGTTTCAGGCACGCACTTCTCTTTGTAAAGAAGGCTTTCTTGACAGTGTGAGAGACGTGTAGGAATGCAAGATATATTGAAGAACTCGAAATTAAAATCGTAGATGAAAGCAGGGTTAAAGGACCATTATGATAAAATAAGGCCTTTATTTCCATTCATGGAGCTATTATGTAGATAGTGTTTTACTTGCTCTCATTTTCTATGAATTCATAGAGACCTTTTTTCATGTACTAGCACATATCAAATTGACAAGGTATAACCAATAATATCTTGCACTTACTATCAGATTACTTTTGGGAAAAAAAGTATGTCATTCTGAAAATATGGAGGAACTTGAGACAAGGTGTGGTGGTGTCTCTGAGCAGACAAGGTAAATGCGATCATCACGGAAGGGTAGATCAAAACAGGAGGGAAGACAAAAAGGTTGTATGATAAAAGGCTGGAAGACAGGAACAAGTGTGATATTGATTCTTTCTGAAGAGAATGACTCTTTTCTTGTCTTGAAATGCCAAGAAAATGAACCAGGAGCTGGAAGGATATAGCTGATGAACAAGAGGATGAGGTAGATTCTTGTTTTCATTTTCTGTTTGTGACTTGAAGCAATTCCTCTAGCATGGTTTTCAGCCTGGATGAGAGTACTATGTAGCCTGATCTACAGAAATCAAATTAACATATGGATCTGAAGGTCATGGCTGGTTCCTCAGAAAGACAGTAGGTGAAACTGGGATCCCATATCTAAATTTTATGAAGTTGGCAGCTTGAACAATAAACAGAAATTTGTCGGCTGGGGATCAACCCAAGAAATTTTCTTAATATACTACTGTGCTTTTCTTCCTGTAAACTCTTATTTCTTAATTTGTGAAATGAATGACTATATCAGCTGAAAAGATAATTAAATTAGCAATCAAAATAGATGTTTTAAACGTCTGTTAGATTGTTAGTATTTTAAATGTGAATAATCAAAATTGTAATGGTTATTACTTTCATTGAGTAAAACAAGATTTTACAATTCACATTAATTACAGAAGTCTAATTTATTTCCCAACATATACATTTTAGTTTATATCTCTGACTATTTTAACAGGCCCAATGATTTGTCAAGTGTTGACTTTTTGAGAAATGTAGTTTATAATTTTCCTAATGGAATTACTGTTTCCTCTTACAGTTAACCACATAGATGAAAAGGTAGTTTCCTTTTAAAATAGAGATACCTCAATCTTAAGCAAAGATTATGAATCTATCCATGCTTTTCGTAGTTGTGTTGTAAAGCTCCAATCAAATGCTAAAATCTCTGTAAAAATATCTTGAAAGTTATTAATAATTTTGACTTGTATTTTAGTCTGCCATGGGTTTCCCTGAAAGGTGGGATAGAAATAGGAGGAATGCAGTCATGAAGATTTGTGTCACAGTATCTGTGACAAGTTCACATCCTAAAGAGTAAAGTTTGAGTTTGTGACATTAATAATAAGAGAAAAGCTGGAATGGAACCATGCAAGTTCTGAGTGTCAGTGAATTCTGCTGTATGATCTCTAGTTTTCTGTCCCTCCATCTTTTAGACAGATGGCATCGTCGCCCCATCTCATTGCATTTGTTTTCATGTCTACAGTAGGATCTGTACAGACTGTGCTTTCATGTCACTTGGAGTCACTCACTTTGATATTCTTCGCAGCTGCACTGGTCCAGTAATATGGGCAGATAACTTGGCTTTAAGTAAGACTTCTGAAACTTTCACAATTCACACATGCCTCATCAAGACTCATTAAATGTCTTACAGGAAAAATTATGAATAGTTCAGGCCCTGTTTAACCTCTCCCTCTCTTGATAACTCTCTTGATGAGCTCACAAGCAAAGCTAAGGAAACATAGTTTTGATGAAACCTGCCGTAAGATGGATGTTTTCCCACTTGGAAAAACCATACTTGAGGATCATTTATCAGTGAGACACTGTTCAAACAGAAATCTGTATCAAGCAGGATCCTGTGCTGTGGTTTGTTCTCACTGATTATTGTCAGTAGTGTCCAAGAACTGACTGTGCTCATTACATCCACAAAGAATGTGAGCCTGGGAAAGCTGCAGTACATTGGAGTGTGGAGCTGGAAATCAGATTGGAAAAAAAAATTATCAGGGAGATAAAGTAAAAGGTACTTGCTGTGTATACAGAGGAAAAGCCAGGTGCAGAATTGCAGAATGAAGAGCAAAATATTTGATTCTAAAGTAAATGATAGAGAAGTTATGATGGGTTCAACCTGTATTAAGCCTTCAACAGAAGGATGTTGTGAAAAAGAAATATGTACTACTGAGATTTTTTTTTTTTTTTTTTAATGAGCATAACTTGGAAGGCAGGTGTATGTGTCCTTATAGCTTTCTCAGTGTGGGCAAGCTTTAGGCATTACTTTCCAAAAAGGATGTGGAGCAAAGGAGAGAATCGTGAGCCAAGTGGTAAGAAAAGCTGACAGGGAAATCAGGAGGATGGAGGCTGTGTACAGCATACAAAAGGGAGCACAACAGCCTTCAAGCATGTAAAAAGTTGCTGCAAAGGGGAAAGAAATTGACTGTTTAACACTTTTTCTCTGAATTGGTAAGAAAATACAGACTTAAATTCTCCAAGAATAATTTAGGTTAGCCATTATAAAAGTCATAATTAAAGAACAGAGCAGATTGCATTGGGAAAATGTGTGCATTTCCACTGTTGAAGGACTTTAAAAACTAGTTAAATAAACATCTGTCAAAAATAGCATAGGTACGGTTGATTCTTGACCTCTTAAAATCTTTTTCAGGTCGACTTTCTATTATTTTCTCCAAATAGATTCTGCTACTTGGACATTTGTTGGTAAAGCCAGCAATCAAAATAATGATGTAGAAGCAGAGCCCTGTAAACACAGAGGATCTGGTACGGTTTCTAGTCATGTCATTTAGCCTCTAGTGGAAAGTGCCAAGATATGTGCTTTGGAAGACTCGTAGGGCACATAGCTGCATGTCAGCCTATTTCAATTAGTGTGTTGAAATGGCGGATTACACATCTCTATAAAAATTAAATTGGTCTCATCCCTGAAATTATAACAAGCCTGAGGATCCAATGGAAAAATCAAATCTTGAGCATCTCGATTTCAGGGGCCACTGAAATACATTGTACCACTGCCTCTGTGGCACCCCACTGACGTTGCTCATCCCCTCTGGATGTCCCCTCTCCCATGGTGTGGGGGTCACAGAGACAGGGACACACTGGTAGAGAGCAGTCCCTAATGGATGGTTTTCTGCCTAGAGTGTGTTGGCTGATGAGATGTCAGTGAGCCCCGGGAGTCTTAGCTCTGTAGTTTTCTGAAGATAGTCTTGCTCTCTTAAGAGCCTGTATTCAGGCTATTTAAATATGGAGTTTAGATGGATTTTGAGTGTTTAATGACACAACTTCCCCCTCTGCAATGTCTAGCTTGTGGTACACTCTAATACACTATCCATTTACAATTACCATGTGAGCCAGATAGGAGCTCAGGTGAGATGATGTTTTGTAGTTTCACTTATGTGCTCAGCTGCTTCCCTCTTTTGAGCCCTCTGTTCTCCTCTAAACCCATCTGT